TCTATTCTATCTACTTGTTTTTCTTTGTGTGTGTGTGTGTGTGTATATGTATAATATATATATATATATACACACCTTGCTACGTGTACTGCGTTAGGCTAACCGAGACTTGTCATTTGCACTTATATATTGTTGCACTTTTGTTAGTTTTGACTGCTTTTATTGTCCTCATTTGTAAGTCGCTTTGGATAAAAGCGTCTGCTAAATGACTAAATGTAAATGTAAATATAATAAATGATTATAATCATTAAAAATGTAAATTTATTCAAAATAATTATTAGTAAAGGCTTTAGATAAAACTGTCTGCTAAATTAATGAACGTAAATGTAATGTGAACTGTGCAGTCCCTTGAAAAAGGGATGCTAGCTGTATCTAGAGACCAAAATATCTTTTGACTAAAAACAGTATCTTGGGAAGCAGAAAACGGCATCCTGACAGCCAGCTACATTACTCTAGCATCATGACATCAAGTCATTTTCTTTGAGAAATGTGAAAATCTTGTTAAATACTAGCAAAAATGTTCATTATATTGCACATCATAATGTCAGACTAAAGCCGTCTTTGTGTGACTGGTATCAGATATTTTTATCGACCACATGAGCCTGTTTTTTCCACTCAGACAGTGTAGTTTTACTCTGAATGTTAGTGGCTTTCCAGCAGCAGACATTACCTAAGTTACATTACCGCAGAGATGTGTCATGCTTTCAGATTTAATAACTGAGAGGAAATAACAGGCTGTTTTCAACAGGAGCAGATCAAAGAGCTCAAGCTCTATAAGATAGCCAGTGAGCTCCTGCAGACGGAGAGAGCGTATGTGACCCGGCTGCATTTGCTGGACCAGGTCAGTCCACGCTCTTCACTCACTTTTACATTCTTAAAAATAAAGCTGCTTTATTGGCATCCATGCTTCCATGAAGAATCTTTAACATCCATGGAACCTTTGTAAATTATTTTAAATGATTGCATTATTTAAATATGAATGCATTATTGCATAATGCATATAAATATTTAATTGGTTAAATTATTAATTTAAAAATGACCATTTATGGTTCCATTAAGAACTTTAAACTTTAACATCCATGGAATGTTTTTAAAGTTATTAAAATTATTTAATTAGTATTTTTAAAATGATTAATTTGACAATTATTCAAAAAATTTATTATTATTAAATTATTCATTTAAAAAAATATCATCTATGGTTCCATGAAAACCTTTAACATCCATTGAACCTTTTTTTAAAGGTATTAAAATGTAATTATTTAAATTATTAATGATTAAATTACCGAAATTATTACATGTAAAATTTGTATTTAAATTATTTTTTAAATCATTAATAAATGTTTAATTGTTTAAGTTATTCATTTTAAATTAATGTTAAAATCTTGATCATGATTTAAAAATGTAACTTAAAAAAATATTACATTAATTAAATGATTAATTTTAAATGATTAAATTACTTACATGATTAATTTTAAAATGATCATGTATGGCTCCATGAACAATATTATTTTTTTTTATTACTTGTTTAAATTATTAATTTTAAAATGATTAAATTAATTTAAATATTAAATTTAAATGTAATTTAAATAAATTATAATTTTTTTGAATGAAATAAAAAATAGAACCTTTGTATTGCATACAAGTTCTTTATAATGGAAAAAGTTTTTTTAGATTAATAATATGTGACCCTGGATAACAAAACCAGTCATAAGGGTCAATTTTTCGAAATTGAGATTTATACATCATCTGAAAGCTGAATAAATAAGCTTTCCATTGATGTATGGTGTGTTATGATAGGACAACATTTGGCCGAGATGCAACTATTTGAAAATCTAGAATCTGAGGGTGCAAAAAAATCTAAATATTGAGAAAATCATCTTTAAAGTTGTCCAAATGAATTTCTTAGCCATGCATATTACTAATCAAAAATTAAGTTTTAATATATTTACAGTAGGAAATTTACAAAATATCTTCATGGAACATCATCTTTACTTAATATCCTAATGATTTTTGGCATAAAAGAAAAATCGATCATTTTGACCCATACAATGTATTTTTGGCTATTTCTACAAATATACCCCAGCGACTTAAGACTGCTTTTGTGCTCCAGGATCACATATGTTCTTCACACTAATAAAAATGGTTCTTTTAAGAAATTATCGCTGAAAGCCTCTTTGGAGAACCAAAAATGGTTCTTCTATAGCATTGCTACAAAAAGCCGTTTAGAAACCCTTTTATTTTTAAGAGTGTGCATGTGAAGTGTGTACTGCGTTTCTGCAGGTGTTCTGCGCTAGACTCACAGAGGAGGCTGGGAAAGGGATGTTTCCTGTGGAGGTGGTGAAGGGCATCTTCTCCAATGTGGGATCCATCTACACCTTCCACAGCCAGTTCCTCCTGCCGGATCTGGAGACGCGGATGAGCCAGTGGTGAGCGCCGATTCATCTTCACGCTTCTTCTCCGCTCTCACACACACACACACACCCGCTCACGTCTGCGTCCTCCTGCAGGGCCTCCACGCCCCGCATCGGGGACATCTTGGCACAGCTCGCGCCCTTTCTCAGGATGTACGCGGAGTACGTGAAGAACTTCGACAGCGCCATGGACCTGCTCAAACAGTGGACGGAGCGATCGGTGCAGTTTAACACCATCATTCAGGACATACAGGTGTGTGTGTGTGCTTTTACCTGAAAATAACCCAATAAATAAACTTATAACAGCAAAGTACTCATCACTGCCTAAATTCTTATTCTACCTCCTTTAAAAGCATTTTGGTCTGATTTTCCAGTTAAATAGCTAATATATCAAATAATTAGTTTTCTGATTTTTCCAGTTCAATATATATCAAAATAATATCAAATAATTGGGTGATTTTCCAGTTAAATAGCTAAAAATATATACGAATATCAAAATAATTTGGTGTGATTTTTCATTCAGCTGCAAGTATATACAAATAATACAAAATATTTTGGTCTGTCTGTCTAGTTAAATGGCTTTATATATTTATATATAAAATATATATAGAATTAATATAAAATAACTTGGACTGATTTTCCAGTTAAATAGCTAAAAATATATACAAATATCAAAATAATTTGATATGATTTTTCAGTTGAATAGCTAAATATATATATATATATATATACACATACTATAACTTTTTTTTTTTTTAATATAATTTGGTTTGGTTTTCCAGTTAAATAGCTGAATATATATAAAATAATATAAAAGTACTCATCACTACCCAAACTCTTATTATACCTTTTTTTTTAACCAACATATTTTTATCTGATTTTCCAATTAAATAACTAAAATATAAAAAAATTATATAAAATAATTTGGCTGGATTTTCCAGTTAAATAGCTGAAAATATATCAAATAAAATAATATAAAAGTGGTCATCACTACCTAAACTCATATTTTACACACACACACACATATATATATATAGTGAGCGAGAGAGAAAGATATAGATGTAAAAGTATAGATATACATTTATAATATTTCAATTTATCATAATATATTATCATAATATTTCAAATGTTTTTTTTAAGCTTAATAAAAAGTTGTTTTTTCCCCCAATAATTTTCTGTATGAAAATCCATGAATGGCATGACCTTCAAAAACTAGATTGAATATTACAATGCGGAGAGACCAATGATTGTTTAATAGTTGGAGAAGATGATAAGGATGAGCTGTTAATTGTTTTTGTGTAGAGTCAGGAGGTGTGTGGGAATCTGACTCTGCAGCATCACATGCTGGAGCCGGTGCAGCGGGTCCCTCGCTACGAGATGCTGCTCAAAGACTATCTGAAGAAACTCCCGGAGGACGACCCCGACCGCAGCCAGGCCAAGAGTGAGAGATACACGCATTCGGTTTTGCTTTTCTCACAATTCAAGCAACTAATATGTGCACAAGCACGTCATTTTTTTATGTTTTAAGCACAGTGAACTTATTTTGCACGGTTCTGTGAGCAACTGAACGTGAACGTTTGAGATCAAATAAAAGTGGTGTTTAGTTCCCAACTGCTTTCAGTTCCATAACTGGACGAGTCAGCTGAGATATCACTTCTCCTTCTCCTTTCCAGAGTCTCTGAACATCATCTCAATGGCTGCCACACACTCCAACATGGCCATCCGCAAGATGGTGAGAGACACTTTCACTTAACCCTAGTCAGACCAAGATGGCCTGTTTCCTGACTCCCTTTATGATTTTCATATGCGATTGTGGTCGTAAATGTGATTCGATTGCCAACTATTTTTACATACATTTTTAAGAGTCAGTGCTGAATCCATTTATCATTATATAGGTTTTAAAATTGCTTTTGTATAGTATTTCAACTTGAAAATGCATTGCATTGCATTGAAATAACAACCAACCAACAATCTGACCCTACAAGTCATTAGTGTTTTGCTCTCTTTAAATTCTTCACTGGTTTTATATGCAGAAGTTCTCTACATGTGTTTCAGGAGAACCTGAAGAAGCTCATGGAGATCTATGAGATGCTGGGAGGTGAGGAGGACATCGTTAACCCGTCCAACGAGCTCATTAAAGAAGGACAAATCCTAAAGCTGGCCGCCAGAAACACCTCGTCCATGGAGAGATACCTTTTCCTGGTTAGATGCTTCTTACTCTGTATTTTTGGCTTGTTTTCCATCGAAACATTCTTAAATCAAAATACATTTACTTGCAGCAAAGGCACTTAATTTAGATGTTTTTTTTATTTTTCAGAAACAAGATTTGTCATTTTGTTTCTCAAGTAAATGTATCTTGATTTAAAGGCACAATATGTAAGTTTTTTTATTAAAATAGCCAAAAACCACTAGAACAGTGTTATATATTTTGCTGACTTCTGTACTTATACATTATCCCAAACAGTTCGAAGAATGTTTAAATCCAGAGAAGTAAGCAATTTTAACTAGTGACACCGACCGTGTCCATAGTGTCATTGTGTCGCCTGCCAATGACGTCATAACCCCTCGAAACACCAAAGACTCTTTAATATGTTGTGTGTTTTATTAGACCGGGGACGACCGCACAGAGTAGCATTATAACAGAACTTTCAAATGTATCTAGTATGATAAAACAGCGCTGCTTTACCCCACATACACATGACCGGACTGTGGCATAATAAAAGCTCCGCTGCTTTCGAGCCGTGTGTCGCGCTCGTTCAGCAGACTCGTTTCGCTTCGACGGCTTTCAGCCTCAACACGTTTCATTCTGTTACATTAATAAATCATTAGCTCATCCATGAACATGATTTCTGCCCGAGTCCCGTCGGATTGCATCAGCTGTGGGGATGAAGACCACAACTCCCATGATTCCACACTCAGTCACGGCGTCATCAAAGTACGCCTTTGTCTCTTTGTTTATTTTGAATACGCTCCCTCTAGCGGCGAAAATTACATATTGGGACTTTAAGAATGTTTAGCTGAAAAACATGACAAAATTATTGAGTTTAAACCACGCCATCCTTCTCTTTTCAGTTTAACAACATGTTGCTGTACTGCGTGCCCAAGTTCAGTCTGGTGGGCCAGCGGTTCACTGTGCGCACGCGGGTCGGCGTTGAGGGCATGAAGGTGCTTGAGACCTCTAATGAAGACTATCCTCACACTTTCCAGGTGTCGGGTAAAGAGCGAACCCTGGAGCTGCAGGCCAGGTGAGGGCAGATCCATGCAGATATAGAGAACAGCATGTGTGTTTTAGCTCATAATGACTGTAGCTTTCTGTGGTTCACAGCTCAGAGCAAGACAAAGAGGACTGGATCAAGGTATCAGTGTCATTCAGTTGCTCAAAGCTGCTTTAAATCTGAATTATATGAATGTAAGAATCAGGAAATACTTTTTTTTTTTTTTGACTTTCCATCTCACAATTCTGACTTTTTTTCCTCAGAATTGCAAATTCATATCTCATATTTCTGTTTTTATCTTGTATTTTAAGCTTTTTTTTAGAATTGTTAGGGGGGGAAAAGTCCAGAGTTGTGAGATATATAAACTAGATAAAAAACAAACTATATAAAGATATAAACTCAGAACTAAATGAACTTTTTTTTAGTTGCTAGTTTATATCATTCAGAATTGTGAGACATAATGGCAGAAATAAACTTGTGACTTTTTATTTCACAACTCTTAATTGCAATGTATAAACTCGCAATTGTGAGAAAAACGTTTATATATTTAATTCTGAGCTTATATGTCTGTTCAGACTTTTATTCTTAGAATTGCAAGGATAATATAAACTAAATAAAGATATAAACTGAATAAAGATAACTAAATAAAGATATATAAACTAGATAAAAAACAAACTATATAAAGATATAAACTCAGAACTAAATGAACTTTTTTTTAGTTGCTAGTTTATATCATTCAGAATTGTGAGACATAAACTCAAAATTAAATATCTAAACGTTTGATTCTCACAATTGCGAGTTTATATCCTGCAATCAAGAGTTGCACGGAAAAAAAAGTCAGAATTGTGAGATTAAAAAGTTGCAATTACTATTTGATTTTCTTTTTTTATTCCGTGGCAGTAATAAGCTTAAGTTTCAATGTAGGCTGTTTGCTTTCTAGGCGTTCCAGGAGACCATTGAAATCTTTCAGCAGAAGAACGAAACATTCAAATCAGCCTCTAAAGAAGTGGCGGATGAGGTTTCTGTAAGTAGAAAGAGCAAACTGGTCATGCATAAAGACGACTGTGGTGGGGGTTGAGGGGGAAATCTTCATTTAAGACACTTCCCTTATCTGTGCTCATGTGTTTTTCAGAAAGAGGAGCTGGGGAAGAGAGCCCCGCGCTGGATTCGGGACAATGAGGTAACCATGTGCATGAAGTGCAAGGAGCCCTTCAACCCTCTGACCCGCAGGAGACACCACTGCAGGGCTTGTGGATACGTGAGTTTGCATGTATACGTTTATCTGGAAATCTGAACGAGCACTTTCTGTGGAACTCAAAACTCAGATCGTTTCATTGTGCTGCAAAGATGATGATTGTAATGTTTTGAAATGTGTCTTAGGTTGTGTGTTATAAATGTTCGGACTACAAGGCATCGCTGAGGTACGACGGCAACAAATTAAACAAAGTGTGTAAAGACTGTTACTTCATTGTGACCGGACGAGCGGATGCTGAGGAACCAGTCAGCGGGAAGAAAAGAGGAATTCTTGAGGTTTTGGGGGTTTTTTCTGTCTGCATGAACCATTTTTGAAATAATCTTGATTTCAGAGGTGTAATGAGTACCTGAAAACCATATTTGAGTAAAAGTACAGATACCTTACAGTAAAAAAATACTCCACTACAAGGTACAAGCCACCAATTCCAAAACAACTTGAGTAAAAGTCGTAGAGTATCTGATTTTAACAGTACTTAAGTATTTTACTTATACTAAATATAGGCTCAAAGAAGCACTAGTCAAAGAGACAAGCCAGTGAAAAACTGTAATGTTGTGGAGAAGCTGCGGAAAACAGGCAGAGGCAAGGATCTATGTGCAGGTGTTTAATGGAAAAACTAGAACAAACAATAAAACAAAAACCAAAGGGAGCATAGAACAGAATGACGGGCAAACTATTACATTCAACAGCTCACAAGGAACTAAAGAAAGACTAGGGCTGTATATACACAAGGGGCTAACAAGCTTAACAAATCAACAAGACGCACCTGGGGGCTGTTTCATAAAACAAGTTTACCAAACAAGCCAGGCTTATTTCAGTTAGTCTGACTTATTTTGAACCAAATAATCTGACAATAAGTCAGACTAACTGAAATAAGCCTGGCTTGTTTGGTAAACTTGTTTTATGAAGCAGGCCCCTGGGGAGACTAATCAAGCGGAACCAATGACCAAACTGGCGACAAACACCATGGGAGACAGGAAGTGACATAAAAGTCCAAGAGAAGGCACAGAGAACATGTAATAAAAACAAGAAAGAGTTGATTTATGAAGAGAGCAATCACGTTTATTTTCTAAAACCAAAATAAAACTGAGCACCTTAAAATTGCACAAAAAAAAATCATCTCATTTATAAAACACCTGTAAATCACTACTTTTTGCTAAGGAACTCACATTCACATAAAGTAGCCTTGTTGACAAGTTTGGGTGAGTAAGGGCAAAATGCACAAGATATGGTACTTTCAGTTGGTGATATCACTTCTTTTGTAGCAGAAAAAAACGGCTGCAGAAAAAGATAGGTGCCGTGCAAAATGTAATGTGTAATTGCGACACTCGTGGAGTAAAGAGTACAGTGCTTATTCAAAAATGTAGTGAAGTAGAGAGTAAAACTTGCTAATATCTTTGATGCTATCTTTGTAAAACCACAGAGTACCCAAGAAGATACTCAAGTACTGTAATTAATTACATTTACTCAAATACTTTACACCTCTGCTTGATTTTTCGTTTTCTCCTCTTGACCTTTACCAGATTGAAGCAGCTCAGGTCTCAGGAAACAGTTTCCTTTGTGGCTTTCTGCAGTACAGTACAGACCGAACTAAACCGTGTCAGAGGGTCTGGTGTGTGATTCCGCAGCACGACGCACTTGTTCTTTACCTGTACGGCGCTCCACAGGTGAGAGATGCAGTGTAGTCGAGCTCACATTAATTAGCCTTCAATGATGCGATATAAACCAAATGCAAAGGCATTGTGTAGCTTACTTCATATTATGTTAGCTTGACAAAGCAATGCCCTAGCAAACACTCAGATCACCTTAGAAATTACTTAACAACATCCTAGCTACCATCTGAAACATTAGCAGTCATTTAGAACACCATAGCAACACCCTAGCTTTTAATAACTTATCTACTTTTAAATATTAAAGGGGTAGTTTACCCCAAAAATGTAATTACCCCATGATTTACTCAACCTCAAGGCATCCTAGGTGTATATGACTTTCTTCTTTCAGACGAATACAATCGGAGTTATATTTAAAAATGTAGTATAATTTTATAATGGCAGTGAATGGGGTGTTGAGATTTTGAAGCCCAAAAAAGTGCATCCATCCATCATAATAATTACTCCACAAGGTTCTTGGGGGTTAATAAAGGCCTTCTGAAGCGAATCTATGCGTTTGCGTAAGAAAAATATCCATATTTACGACTTTAGATACCATAATCTCTAGCTTCTGCTAACTGTTGTACACGCGTTCTCGAGTGAGTGGTGTTTCTGTGGATGCTGTAGGCGTAGAGTAAGCTCCGGTGAGGAGTGATGCAGAAGTGCAGAGGAGAGAGCAAAACAAAACACCAGTCACGAATTATAAGTACAGAATGAGGATTTGTAAAGACAAATGTCTGAGGATTTCAAAATAGGCCAAGAGGAGACTGGTTTTTCTTTGCTGTAAACAAAGCTTGGTTCTTGTGAGACTAGCATATTCGCACCGGAGCATATGCTAAGGCTGCATGTCCACCAAAGCGTTTTTTGCCAGCTGAAAACACCAGGCGCTCTCCTGAAAACGCCAAGCTGTGAGTGCTTGAGAGATGCACAAGATATGGTACTTTCAGTTGGTGATATCACTTCTTTTGTAGCAGAAAAAAACGGCTGCAGAAAAAGATAGGTGCCGTGCAAAATGTAATGTGTAATTGCGACACTCGTGGAGTAAAGAGTACAGTGCTTATTCAAAAATGTAGTGAAGTAGAGAGTAAAACTTGCTAATATCTTTGATGCTATCTTTGTAAAACCACAGAGTACCCAAGAAGATACTCAAGTACTGTAATTAATTACATTTACTCAAATACTTTACACCTCTGCTTGATTTTTCGTTTTCTCCTCTTGACCTTTACCAGATTGAAGCAGCTCAGGTCTCAGGAAACAGTTTCCTTTGTGGCTTTCTGCAGTACAGTACAGACCGAACTAAACCGTGTCAGAGGGTCTGGTGTGTGATTCCGCAGCACGACGCACTTGTTCTTTACCTGTACGGCGCTCCACAGGTGAGAGATGCAGTGTAGTCGAGCTCACATTAATTAGCCTTCAATGATGCGATATAAACCAAATGCAAAGGCATTGTGTAGCTTACTTCATATTATGTTAGCTTGACAAAGCAATGCCCTAGCAAACACTCAGATCACCTTAGAAATTACTTAACAACATCCTAGCTACCATCTGAAACATTAGCAGTCATTTAGAACACCATAGCAACACCCTAGCTTTTAATAACTTATCTACTTTTAAATATTAAAGGGGTAGTTTACCCCAAAAATGTAATTACCCCATGATTTACTCAACCTCAAGGCATCCTAGGTGTATATGACTTTCTTCTTTCAGACGAATACAATCGGAGTTATATTTAAAAATGTAATATAATTTTATAATGGCAGTGAATGGGGTGTTGAGATTTTGAAGCCCAAAAAAGTGCATCCATCCATCATAATAATTACTCCACAAGGTTCTTGGGGGTTAATAAAGGCCTTCTGAAGCGAATCTATGCGTTTGCGTAAGAAAAATATCCATATTTAAGACTTTAGATACCATAATCTCTAGCTTCTGCTAACTGTTGTACACGCGTTCTCGAGTGAGTGGTGTTTCTGTGGATGCTGTAGGCGTAGAGTAAGCTCCGGTGAGGAGTGATGCAGAAGTGCAGAGGAGAGAGCAAAACAAAACACCAGTCACGAATTATAAGTACAGAATGAGGATTTGTAAAGACAAATGTCTGAGGATTTCAAAATAGGCCAAGAGGAGACTGGTTTTTCTTTGCTGTAAACAAAGCTTGGTTCTTGTGAGACTAGCATATTCGCGCCGGAGCATATGCTAAGGCTGCATGTCCACCAAAGCGTTTTTTGCCAGCTGAAAACACCAGGCGCTCTCCTGAAAACGCCAAGCTGTGAGTGCTTGAGAGTGCAGAGGGGGGGGGTTTTTCCGTTGAGATGCTGTGGTTGCTATGATACGGAATATCCGCTGAAGTGATGGCAAACGCATAGCGAGTATAATGTTTCTCCAAGCATTATTTTTATAACAATATTATGGTAGTCCTGAAATTCAATCTGTTAAAGACAAAAAATACTCGGAGACAAGCAATATTAACTTCTCCATTGTTGTTCAGTGGTTGTACTAGCCGGGTGGTCAGTATTAGTCCCGCCCCTCCTCCCCTCTGATTGGTTGGCTGACTAGAAAGTGACAGTGATGAGCGCAGCGTTTTACCCAAAGTTGAACATTCTTCAACTCTCAGTGCTGAGAAAAAAATGCCAGAATGCTTAGCGCTCAGCGCGAAAAAGATGCTCAGCGCTCGGCACGCTCCTGGTGTTTTAAAAAACGCGGCGCTGAAAAATACGCTAGCCACAGGGAAAAACACATTGGTGGACACGCCGCCTAAGTCTACGTCCTACATCATCCACTGGAACACCACTCTATTGTGAACACGCATATGACAGTTAGCAGTTAGATATTTTTCTTACACAAATGCAGAAGGCCTTTATTACCCCCCCGGAGCCGTGTGGAGCACTTTTTATGATGGATGGATGAACTTTTTTGAGCTTCAAAATCTCAACCCCCATTCACTGCCATTATAAAGCTTGGAAGAGCAAGGACATTTTTAAAATAACTCCGACTGTATTTGTCTGAAAGAAGAAAATCATATACACCTAGTATGGCTTGAGGGTGAGTAAATCATGGGGTCATTTTCAGCCTTGAATGAGTCCGGTTTCTCTGGGATTTTGTTCTTAGGATGTCAAAGCCCAGTGTACCATCCCGCTCCTGGGTTACCAGGTTGAAGATGTCCAACGGTCTGTGGATCATCCTCCCACCAGCTTCCGTCTGTGCCAGTCCAAATCTGTTCACTGCTTCATTGCCGACACGGAGGAAGTGAAACTGCGCTGGCTAAAAGTGATACACAAGGCCGTGATTGGGGAGATGCCAGAATGCCAGACGCCAGTCGATGACGACCTTGCCAACAGCTGCCATGATGGTGTGCCTGATGGTACCTGAAAAGACAAGGCAGTTTTCCAGCTTTTGCAGTGTTACGCGTGTAACTCAGCGGAATAGAATATTGATTAGAATGTGAAACCTTACAGAACAGATTGGATATTTTTGGGAGTGTATAAATTGATTTTTCATTGCATACTATATGCAGTCAGTTGATTAATATCAGATATTTTAATGTATTATAATGTCGACCTCAGAATCAGACTAGTAAAAACATTTAGTGTGTGATTATGTAAATCATTATATTGTCTTAGTTTACAAAAGTCTGAATTATGCTTTGTGATTTATTAGCCTTTCTCTTTGTGACATCATGTTTTATGTATATTTTAAATTTGTAATGTTAATATGCTGTTCGTCATTGTCACTGTCCCTAAGATTTATGCATTTTATTGCTTTTTGTATAGTAGGACATTGACATTAAAATTAATTAATAAAGGTTAAGCTCTATTGCCTTAAGCCTTAAGCCCCGTTCACACCAAGAGCGATAACTATAAAGACAACGATATTAGCATCCACACCAGCGAACGATATCGTCTGTTTATTCTAAGCACACGTGCGTCTGCCGCTTTAAATTCTTGAGCTCGTTACAACAGGATGGATTCTGATTGGCTGTCAGTGTTTTATCATTCATCAGCTGGAGAAAAATCGTTTTGAAAGTGATTCCAACGATATCGTTCCTCTGTATCGTTATCATTAAAGTTGTGGTGTTAACTTCTTTAATATTGAGAACTATTTTTAGAACTATATCTTTATCGTTATCTTTATAGTTATCGTGCTTGGTGTGAACGGGCCTTTAGACCTCTCTGTAGCTACCATCTGAAACCCTAGAGACCAATTTCAACACCTGAGCAACAGCCTAACAACCAATAAGAACGCTGTAACAACAACAACCTGGCTATCATCTAAAATCCTTGAAAGCAATTTGAACACCTAAGCAACACCCTAGCAACCAGTCAGAATGTTGTAGAAACAATGTAGGTAACATCTGAATCCCTAGAAACCACTTTGAATATCTAAGCAACAATTTAGCAACCACTCAGAACTTCCATAGCAACATTTTAACTACCATTTGAAACCCGAGAAACCACCTTAAAGAAACCAATTAGACCACCTAAGCAACACCCTAGCAACCAGTCAGAATGTTGTAGAAACAATGTAGGTAACATCTGAATCCCTAGAAACCACTTTGAATATCTAAGCAACAATTTAGCAACCACTCAGAACTTCCATAGCAACATTTTAACTACCATTTGAAACCCGAGAAACCACCTTAAAGAAACCAATTAGACCACCTAAGCAACACCCTAGCAACCAGTCAGAATGTTGTAGAAACAATGTAGGTAACATCTGAATCCCTAGAAACCACTTTGAATATCTAAGCAACAATTTAGCAACCACTCAGAACTTCCATAGCAACATTTTAACTACCATTTGAAACCCGAGAAACCACCTTAAAGAAACCAATTAGACCACCTAAGCAACACCCTAGCAACCAGTCAGAATGTTGTAGAAACAATGTAGGTAACATCTGAATCCCTAGAAACCACTTTGAATATCTAAGCAACAATTTAGCAACCACTCAGAACTTCCATAGCAACATTTTAACTACCATTTGAAACCCGAGAAACCACCTTAAAGAAACCAATTAGACCACCTAAGCAACACCCTAGCAACCAGTCAGAATGTTGTAGAAACAATGTAGGTAACATCTGAATCCCTAGAAACCACTTTGAATATCTAAGCAACAATTTAGCAACCACTCAGAACTTCCATAGCAACATTTTAACTACCATTTGAAACCCGAGAAACCACCTTAAAGAAACCAATTAGACCACCTAAGCAACACCCTAGCAACCAGTCAGAATGTTGTAGAAACAATGTAGGTAACATCTGAATCCCTAGAAACCACTTTGAATATCTAAGCAACAATTTAGCAACCACTCAGAACTTCCATAGCAACATTTTAACTACCATTTGAAACCCGAGAAACCACCTTAAAGAAACCAATTAGACCACCTAAGCAACACCCTAGCAACCAGTCAGAATGTTGTAGAAACAATGTAGGTAACATCTGAATCCCTAGAAACCACTTTGAATATCTAAGCAACAATTTAGCAACCACTCAGAACTTCCATAGCAACATTTTAACTACCATTTGAAACCCGAGAAACCACCTTAAAGAAACCAATTAGACCACCTAAGCAACACCCTAGCAACCAGTCAGAATGTTGTAGAAACAATGTAGGTAACATCTGAATCCCTAGAAACCACTTTGAATATCTAAGCAACAATTTAGCAACCACTCAGAACTTCCATAGCAACATTTTAACTACCATTTGAAACCCGAGAAACCACCTTAAAGAAACCAATTAGACCACCTAAGCAACACCCTAGCAACCAGTCAGAATGTTGTAGAAACAATGTAGGTAACATCTGAATCCCTAGAAACCACTTTGAATATCTAAGCAACAATTTAGCAACCACTCAGAACTTCCATAGCAACATTTTAACTACCATTTGAAACCCGAGAAACCACCTTAAAGAAACCAATTAGACCACCTAAGCAACACCCTAGCAACCAGTCAGAATGTTGTAGAAACAATGTAGGTAACATCTGAATCCCTAGAAACCACTTTGAATATCTAAGCAACAATTTAGCAACCACTCAGAACTTCCATAGCAACATTTTAACTACCATTTGAAACCCGAGAAACCACCTTAAAGAAACCAATTAGACCACCTAAGCAACACCCTAGCAACCAGTCAGAATGTTGTAGAAACAATGTAGGTAACATCTGAATCCCTAGAAACCACTTTGAATATCTAAGCAACAATTTAGCAACCACTCAGAACTTCCATAGCAACATTTTAACTACCATTTGAAACCCGAGAAACCACCTTAAAGAAACCAATTAGACCACCTAAGCAACACCCTAGCAACCAGTCAGAATGTTGTAGAAACAATGTAGGTAACATCTGAATCCCTAGAAACCACTTTGAATATCTAAGCAACAATTTAGCAACCACTCAGAACTTCCATAGCAACATTTTAACTACCATTTGAAACCCGAGAAACCACCTTAAAGAAACCAATTAGACCACCTAAGCAACACCCTAGCAACCAGTCAGAATGTTGTAGAAACAATGTAGGTAACATCTGAATCCCTAGAAACCACTTTGAATATCTAAGCAACAATTTAGCAACCACTCAGAACTTCCATAGCAACATTTTAACTACCATTTGAAACCCGAGAAACCACCTTAAAGAAACCAATTAGACCACCTAAGCAACACCCTAGCAACCAGTCAGAATGTTGTAGAAACAATGTAGGTAACATCTGAATCCCTAGAAACCACTTTGAATATCTAAGCAACAATTTAGCAACCACTCAGAACTTCCATAGCAACATTTTAACTACCATTTGAAACCCGAGAAACCACCTTAAAGAAACCAATTAGACCACCTAAGCAACACCCTAGCAACCAGTCAGAATGTTGTAGAAACAATGTAGGTAACATCTGAATCCCTAGAAACCACTTTGAATATCTAAGCAACAATTTAGCAACCACTCAGAACTTCCATAGCAACATTTTAACTACCATTTGAAACCCGAGAAACCACCTTAAAGAAACCAATTAGACCACCTAAGCAACACCCTAGCAACCAGTCAGAATGTTGTAGAAACAATGTAGGTAACATCTGAATCCCTAGAAACCACTTTGAATATCTAAGCAACAATTTAGCAACCACTCAGAACTTCCATAGCAACATTTTAACTACCATTTGAAACCCGAGAAACCACCTTAAAGAAACCAATTAGACCACCTAAGCAACACCCTAGCAACCAGTCAGAATGTTGTAGAAACAATGTAGGTAACATCTGAATCCCTAGAAACCACTTTGAATATCTAAGCAACAATTTAGCAACCACTCAGAACTTCCATAGCAACATTTTAACTACCATTTGAAACCCGAGAAACCACCTTAAAGAAACCAATTAGACCACCTAAGCAACACCCTAGCAACCAGTCAGAATGTTGTAGAAACAATGTAGGTAACATCTGAATCCCTAGAAACCACTTTGAATATCTAAGCAACAATTTAGCAACCACTCAGAACTTCCATAGCAACATTTTAACTACCATTTGAAACCCGAGAAACCACCTTAAAGAAACCAATTAGACCACCTAAGCAACACCCTAGCAACCAGTCAGAATGTTGTAGAAACAATGTAGGTAACATCTGAATCCCTAGAAACCACTTTGAATATCTAAGCAACAATTTAGCAACCACTCAGAACTTCCATAGCAACATTTTAACTACCATTTGAAACCCGAGAAACCACCTTAAAGAAACCAATTAGACCACCTAAGCAACACCCTAGCAACCAGTCAGAATGTTGTAGAAACAATGTAGGTAACATCTGAATCCCTAGAAACCACTTTGAATATCTAAGCAACAATTTAGCAACCACTCAGAACTTCCATAGCAACATTTTAACTACCATTTGAAACCCGAGAAACCACCTTAAAGAAACCAATTAGACCACCTAAGCAACACCCTAGCAACCAGTCAGAATGTTGTAGAAACAATGTAGGTAACATCTGAATCCCTAGAAACCACTTTGAATATCTAAGCAACAATTTAGCAACCACTCAGAACTTCCATAGCAACATTTTAACTACCATTTGAAACCCGAGAAACCACCTTAAAGAAACCAATTAGACCACCTAAGCAACACCCTAGCAACCAGTCAGAATGTTGTAGAAACAATGTAGGTAACATCTGAATCCCTAGAAACCACTTTGAATATCTAAGCAACAATTTAGCAACCACTCAGAACTTCCATAGCAACATTTTAACTACCATTTGAAACCCGAGAAACCACCTTAAAGAAACCAATTAGACCACCTAAGCAACACCCTAGCAACCAGTCAGAATGTTGTAGAAACAATGTAGGTAACATCTGAATCCCTAGAAACCACTTTGAATATCTAAGCAA